ATATATATATATATATATATATATATATATATATATATATATATCTTCTTCGACTCTATGAGTACAAAATGTTCAATACGAACGCGAACTTTTTTCTTTGAACCTTAATAAATACACGTAAATGCACGTAAATAAAATAATTTCTTTATTATTCTTATTTTTTCTCGACTCTTGATGCGATGTGCTCTGGGATGATCTACATTTACTCACCGGCTTCTACGCGGGTCATAATTCCCTCAGATACCCTTCTGAAAAACATGGGTATCTTCGATATCGATTCATGCAGTTTCTATCAAGGGACGACTGAAACGTCCCACCATATTCTATGTGAATGTGAGACTATCTGCAGAATCAGACACCACGTGTTTGGCGAGCATTTTAAAACGTCGGACACGGTATGCTGCTACGGTCTAAAGAAATTAGGGAAGACCGCCATTGGAAATTGTTCAGATCGGAACACTTTTTCAATCAGTTCCCACGCAACAACTTATTTTGAAAAGTCGTCAAATAAATAATTGTATTAAGCGAAATGATGTAAGGTATTTAAAGATAGGACCGCGCTCAACTATAGTGTTTTTACGCATTTTATTCGAAAAACTTTTATACAAAAAATAGTTTTTATTAAAAAAAAAAACAAAGCAATGTTATGACTTAAGATAATTGTATTAAACGAAATATACTAACTGCTACTCAGTCAAGGCTGCAATTCGATTTTTGCTTGTCGAAAATGCGTGTTTTTTTTTTTTTTTTTTTAGAGAGAGAGAGAGAAAGTAAGTAAATAAATGAAATTAATTGAAAAAAGTGAAAAAAAAGTTTTTGTTATTACATAACTATGAATAAAAATGTTGCCTAACAACGTAATGCAGTTTCTTTGAAATTTCTTTTGGCCTATTTAATAGCCTGTCTGCTGCTATTAACGTCCATGCGTCCAAAACTACTACTGGCCTAACGGCACATAAGCATGCATTCGCATGCATTCGCATGCATTCATACATTGGTATGGCGTGCAGTGCAGTGCAGTGCAATGCAGTTGAAAGTTGGAAGTTGTCAGAGATATATTTTGAGGAAAAGAGATAGAAGTGAAAATCTATGTTAAAGACTTTGTTTTTTTTTTTTGCGGGTATATTTTTAACGGTAATAAAATTATGCAACCTGCATTGTAATATTTGTATGTATTTGTATTTAATTGTTGACGATTGAGTTATGTATATAACAATGACAAAAACGAAACGAAAGTAAGAAAGCAATAAAGCGTAAAAAGCGTTGTCGAAAGAAGTGATCGCAATGATTATAATTTACGATCGCAATCGGTATTGTTATTGATTCAAATTTAACGTTTTGTTGTTGTTGTTGTTGTTGTTTTTTTTGAAAAATTATTATTGTATATTGTGCATTTAGCAATTGGCAATTTATCAATTAGTTGTTCGTGAGAATTATAAATGAATGCGTTTACCTAACTAATATCATGATTACAGAAATTAAGTTACAATGTCATTAACATTTATTAACAAGTTTTTTTTTTTTTTTTTTTTTGTTTTTTTATTATTGCATATACTTACCCAATAGAATCTCTACCGTAGCCTCACTCATATAATCGTGGCAATCGAAAGTTTTGCCAATTTCCGTTTCGAGTTTGCGTACAACATTTTTTGAATTCTCATTAAATAGATTTATGAAGCTCTTTAAAACATTCAAATGAAATGTCGGTGCAATTAATTTACGATGTGATCGCCATTTTTGACCTACGATACGTAAATGCATAATATCTCAATTCATTTAACTATTGATAAGTTTTATTATAGGTCTATACTTACCTGTACTTATTAGAAGGCCATCACCGAGCCAAGGTTTAAAAAATCGATATTCGGAAGCCTTATCTATATAAACTTGACTGCTAAGCAATAATTCAACATCTCGCGGATCATATATAAATACTAATAATTTCGGACCAATCCAAAGTTTTGCTAAATGAGGAAATTCAGCACTTTTACGTACAACGGTCTTATAAACACCTATAAATAGAGGAAAAAAATTTTTGTTTTTTTTTTTACTTTGAAAATTATTTAGCATTTTCAAACTTGATCGATGGAATTAATTTAACAATATGTGTATTATGAGAATTCAAAATGTATACTTCATTTTGTGCTTACATATTCGTATTTTATTTGCTTGGGGGAGAGGGTAGAATTAAGGTAGATTTAAGTTATAATAAGCAACAGTAAGTAGATAGTAGTCAGTTAGGATAGAGTAGACCGTGACTGATGACGTGGTTGGGCGATCTCAGCTGGGAATACGTTTTATCATCTAAAATCCGGCAAAAGTTTGTCAAGGTCATATTTTTATGGCAATCAAAACGATGACTTCCGGACTTGAGGACAGAGATTTTTCTTCTTCAAATTTCTATTCGAGTTTTTTATTCTTGATTGGAATGAACCAAGATGTGCTGGGTGTAGCCCATTTTCCTTTTGTATGATTTAGGGTAGACTTTAGCGTTAGCGTAACTCAGCAACGTTATGGATAATACAACATAAATTCTCACGATATACGCATAGCATTCGTTGACTTAGTAAATCCGAATAAGATTGGATTTATCAAAGCGAGGATTATCACGGATAATCACTTAACATTCGATTCGTTAACTAAATTGCTTAGTCAACCTTGACTTGTTATAAATAATGCAAAGAAATCGCTGAATAAATTGTGACTTGAAGCTAACAGAATTCATTTATTGTATCGTAAAGAATTCCGACAATGAAGAATATAGAAGGAATTCTTTGCATTATTAAATTGCCATGAAATGATTCTTTACGAAATAAATTCTATGACTGGAAACCTCCCTTGACAAAACCTAAACCTTATGAGTAAGGATATCATGTATTTGCAGAAGGTATAAATTATTTTGTGATAAACCATGGATATGCCGGTGAACGGATCTTTGGCCATGACAAATCATTTCACAGTGTCATTTAGCGCTTCTTTATATATGAGGATCAATATCCAAATAATATTTTGATATGAATTTCTGTCAGTTAATTTCTTTTGTCTTACATTCTCATGCATTGTATCTTTTCTTTCCCTTTTTTAACTATAACAACGTATGTATGTTTATTAATTTTTAAAAATTTATATAAACTATTGAATTTAATTTCTTCTCCACTTTGCCCAAATAAAGAAGAACATCGCTAATCACTCATATTCATTTCATATACCATCGCTTCAATATTAAGCTCATCATATGATCGGACATATGAACCAGCATGCACCAGCATTAGCATGTGTGCATCATGTGCTAGGTATGTCAATATGTAACCGGAATTTGTCCATAGATGGCTTCAGCACCACGGGTAGAGAACGTGCATACATGATGGGCATATATGCCCGTGAATACTGAACGTGTAATTGCTATAAAAAAATCCGATATCATATTTACACATTTGCTATAGTGACATATAAGCTTGATCTGACGAGATACCGATGATGAGGTGCATGCTAGATTTGCCTGGCAGACATTAGCAAGCATTAAGATCATAGTGAGGCAAGGGTGACCATTAGATACTCTACACTATTTCCTGTAGTATTACAGGTTCGTTTGATAATATTGTACAAACACTTACACATTATTTTCATGCGAAGATAGACTTTTCATGAAAGCCCGCCGATTGGAAGACGTCCAAAATGTCACATGACATGATCGGAATTTTTCTAAGAGTTTTATTATTTTTCAGTTTCCGTCATAAAAAACTAGAAAATGGACTTTCTTCCCATATATAGGGACTTGCTTTTGATGATAGCACCCGATTTATTATATATTAGGGACTAAGATGATCCAAATTGTGTACCGGCATTTTTTTTTTTTTTTTTTTTTGTTAAATTCCTACTATCGTAAATTATTAAAAATTACACCGTCTCTTGAAGGTCTCTTACTATTCATGAGAAATCCTCTGTGAGGTGCGATCCAAGGAATGGGACCCATGTCTTCGACCCTACTCCATTTCGCTTGACACAGTAACGATTTTTCAAAATAAAGTGTTATATGGCATGTTGTCGAGAAAGTAAGCCAAACACTTTCTTATAGCAAATTTCATTAAAATAACGCATTAATTGCGATCTGTAGATTGAGCATAACAATGCAAAACACAGAAACGGACTGAAGGATAGACAAGCTTAAATGGTTCTGAATCGATCGGTATAATAGAAGGTGAGTCTTTCTGAGTATTGCATAAGTTGTATCGCAAGTCGCGCGGAAGTTATATTCACGTTCGTGTGAATACGTCATAAGACAACCAACTGAAACCAAGCTTACCTATCGCTTACCTATTGCTTTGTTCAACATTTTTATTAAAGCTTAACAAGCAATAACGAGCTTTCTATCGGAATTTTTGGGACCATAAAATAGGACAAAAGACGCAAATTGCTCAATGGTTCCATTGTTCCGAACACTATCATAAAAAGTATAATAAGCATACCTTGAATATATGAAACTATTGAACCATTGAATTATGATATTTTATATTGCAGCTTTATTTGTGCACTTGTTAGTTGGAATGCCGATAATTGCAGCGAAATTCCAAACGATGTCGTTCACATTTTTTCTTCCGTTCAAATACCTCTTAAGTATTAAGCATTAAACAGCCGAACATTAAGAGCGAAAGCTGAAATTTTTGCTCACATTTTATGAACTTTAGTTGGGTGGAGAAAATATGAAAAAGCAAAAGTCAATCACGAACTTACAGTAACACTTACGCATCGTGTACGGAGAGAAGATCGTAAATGAAAATGTTTGGCGAAATTTTATTATGTTATGCCTTGAACTATAAGACACGATCTAATCGTTCAATTATCCGTGATGTTGAGCAATTCTAGATTTTATTCGATTCAAGTAATCGTCTTACCACTACAGAGAGAGCAGGAATGCGTTATGGTTCCAAGATTGTTTTTTAATCTTGAAAATTCTCCTCTTCACTTTGGTCGCTCGGTTATTGCTGATGTTCGGAACGTGCTTCGGCATGCGAAGAGGTTTTGTGTTTTTCACTCGATTCCCGCTCCCCTGCATTTATATGCAGACACGAAAACATGTACAGTTTACGAGTTTAATAGCTACGATGAATAAGTATACGAATCGGACCGAACTTTGCACTTTTACGAGATATGTGATATTCAAAACTAATCATAAAGCGGATTCACTTTTGTCGTACTTTCTTTGTTCAATAAACTCAACTAATATTTATTAAGGATTTCTAGTTTAGCAACAAATACTTGTTTTAGATTATAACCGGACTCCACTCGCTTCCCAATGGAATTTTAAGATTCGATTCATTCGCTGCTATGCTTTGAAAGTGATTCCTTAGTTAACTTATAAAGTTAACGAAGAAAGTGACTGATCATGTTGAAGCTTTTCATCGATAGGTAAAAAAAAAAAAAAATTTTGAAAAAAAAAAAATTTTTTTTTTTTTTTTTCATTCACTTACTGAAGGGAAAATTTTTCTTTACAAAGTTTACATGTTTGTCGTTGTGGTTGCTTTTGAAAATTTTTAAAGCCGTGAAAAGTGTTTTGCAAGGCATTGAAAGGTATGGGCAATCATAGGTCTAACACAATTATTAAAACTGAATTTTTTTTTTTTTTCGATTAACACAAACATTAACATAAAGTAAAGTGCAGAGTTACTTACAAGCGGCTGGTCCTACGAAATCGAATAAATGTCCGATAATTGGTAAACCTTTTGGTCCAGGTAGTTTTGCAGCTAACTCATAGAGGTGACGCCTGGATAAACGCCAATACATGAACCAGAGAAGAATGCTTGGAAATAACAAGAAGTAGAAGACACTGCTGGGTGAAATAATATTCGGATCTTTTAACAAATCCAAAGCCATTTTTCGTTTAACAGTTATTTGCACTTATTACACTTAAATATCACGCATGCACGCACACAAACCCATGCACATATGTACAAACACCAAATACATAGAAAGAAAGTTTTAAGAATAAATGGAAATTTTTTCTTTTGCTTCCTTTTCCGTCTCACTTTTTTTAAATTATGTTTTTTTTTTTTCACAAAAATACACTTTCTTTGGATTTTTATATTTTGTTATTTTTTTTTTTTTTTTGTTTGGTTTTTCTTTATTAGCCCAGCCCGTGCCAGCAATACTGTGCTTAGGCATTCAAGTGTTACTTGTTTTTATAGCTTGTGTTTACTTAACATAATCCCGGTTTAATACAACGCTTACATACTTGCTTGCGCTCAAGCTAGCTTCAAAATAGGCCTCCACTGATGATATTCGTTGCAGCGATTGTCTGGACTGACTCATTTCCCGCTGAAAAGGGGAGAGAGCGAGAGAAAATCACGCGTATATCCCTGTTAGAGCAGTGGGAGTAAATATATGAGAGTGAATAAAGTTTTTGAGTCTTTTTTTTTTTTGTTTTTTCGTGTTTTTCTTTTGCCTAAATGGAATTTTTCCAACTTTATGATTAATAAGAAATAAAACAAATAAGAAAATAATATTTGAGTGTTGTCGAATCTTTTATACCCGTCATCATTATCCTAGCAAAGCCTAGGGAGTGCAGCAGAACAAAAACAATGAAACCAAATTTGCATATTGCATAATGGGCGTGGGTAGATTATTATTTTCATTTTTCTAAAATATTTATGGAAGTCTTTATTATATGCGGAGCCGTTCTCATTTCATCCTGCACTGTAGGTGTACTATATCGTTTCACCTCGGATTTTGGCAACATTTCAAGGCGATATCTTCTGATGAACTCGTGTTACTATTTTTGTATATATTTCGTTCGTTTATTGAACAATTCGAATCGATTTTTCTGATAGCGTTCGGCATTAAACATTCCATCAGACTTAAATAGCTAATAACAGGTCATAACGTCCTGGTTTCATCAACAACAGATTATCGTGTTTCTGTCAAAAGCGATTCCATCGCGTATTTGTGAAGTGAATGGTGCAACTGCATATACCTATGAATTGCCAAGATAGAGCCCCTTTTTCATTTCCACTTAAATTGCGATGCAAAAAGGATTTCTTTCGTATTGTTTGGGCAAAGAAGAAATTCTATCGAGGAATGCTTGATAATTGGAACAAAACTCGATACTTTTGACTGTTTATTCTTGCCAGATATCTAAGTGAGGAAAAAAAAAAAAACGCACTTCATGTGCTTAGGTCATCTAGAATTGTCTATGAGAAATTTCCGGCTTTAAATTTACACATCTTGCAGTGTAAGTTAGCTTACCGAACTTTAGAAGAGATGTTTGAATTAAACTTAAGATGAAGTAATACTTTAAGATATATAAAAATCACCGAATCACGTTATCAGATTTTAAAAATAAGTAAAAAAAATTTAAGTTTTTTCAAAATTTTAATTTTTACCTCTTGAAATTTTATTCATCAAATTACACGTTTTGTTGTATTTATGCATTTTCGTATATTAATCGTGTAATTTTTTTTTTATAATATATTCGCGATTTTTATCAAAAAATTTATTTAACAATAACATATAAGCATATCAACTCTGTAATCATAATTAAGAAAAACATAAAACTTACAAATTTTTCCAGGTATATAGATAGACCTACGTAAATACTGTTCAATCTTAATTATATTGATTTCTTTTAAAATTTTTAAATGGCTCCGGCAAGTACAGGACAAGTACTATGGCGAGCAATATCGCCAGATCTCGATATAACTGATCTGTGGAGTGGAAAGTTTCAGAAATGACTAAGGAAGAGTAGGCAATAGAGAGCAATTGGCAGATGTTGTGATACAAGAACAACAACATTCTATTGAATGTAATCGACAAATTGGAGACAATCTACAAATTCTTCTCGCCAAGAATTGCACTTGTCCAACAATGTCAAGCAAATGTCGAATGTTCGTTTTATCTTTTCAGTCAACTGTGAGAGCAAAAGAAAATTTCATATCAACATCTTCTCTATGGTGTACACGCTTTTTCCCAGAATTTTTTGAGCGCTATAGGTGTTAGTATATTACCCGTGGTGGGATCACGATCACATTTACATTCAACTTCCGCCGTAATCAATTTTTAGGCGGGGCAGACAAAAGAGCAAGAGCAAGAGCAAGAGCAAGAGCAAGAGCAAGAGCAAGAGCAAGAGCAATATAACTAAGTCGTGTCGGGATATCACGCTTGTGAATAAGACAACGCATGACCGTTATAGTAAAAGATAAATCTATCTATCTCAAGTCTCTTTGGCTATTTTGCATACATTCGCGCAAACTTCGTATATCCTTGTATTATAAATGGTGTAGGCTATTAAAAAAAAAAAAAAAAAAAAACATCGAATAGTTTCTCTTATGAAAAAAATATAAAAACAGTGCAAGTCAAATAATTTAAATTTAATTTAATTTTAAGTCTTTTTTTTTTATTTATACCAATAAATTATTTACGAATTTACAAATGACATAAAATAGATTTGCTGCGTACTTCGATAATACATTTCAAGAATTTCAAATAAATGAAAACTGATGCTCTTAGATCTAAATGTGAGACATATGGATGACAATTTGCGCCGGCAGTAATTTTCAAGTATTTCTTAAATTTGTAACGCGTTCCGCGTTAGAAGAACTTCACTTCTTCGCGTTAAACCTCATGTATGTGAACTGTTTAGATAAGTCATTGTTTTTCGCCTGTTATTAGATTTGCAAATATCTAATATTAGGCCCTTAAAAAACAAGACGCGAAAATATTCACATAAATATTCCTTCATGCATTCATCGCCAATTTGTAAACAATGATGCAATTTGATGTTAGTTAATATTATTATTTCTTTTATAAAGATCATCTAATCATGCTTTGATCTTTAACTGCCGCGAGAAAATTGATCAAATTCAAAGTGCACTTAATCTATTCAGCATTCGTTCATTCGAAATATGGAATTCATTTCCTGTTTCTACCATGGTTTTGCTTCGTTTTATGTGAAACGCTTTTATCATTGAAATATAGAAATAAATGTACCTTCAGATGTAAATAATAAAAAGAAGTGACATACTTTACGTTTTGTTTTTAATAATATTACCTAACACATCACTCAATGACTTTCCAATCTGATACATATATGGCAGCACTATTGACAGATCGATATAATATCTGGTTAATATGGATTTTTGCGCGAAATGCCGACCGTTCTTTAAGTGACGCTTACTAGCTGCTAGGGAATTGCAATTCCATGCATTGATAAGAGATTGCTTTTTGATGGCAAAATCACAATCAGCGTTAACTTAAAATGATGTGATGGCCGCTTTTGTCTATCGAAAGAATAAATTTATGGGTCCTTTGGTCATTGCAAACAAAGTCATCCGGTTTTTTCAGATAACGCATTTTTCCCCCTCCGCTTCCAAATGCATTAAGCCAGACAATAACAAATTGTTTTTGCTGTGGAAATGTACAACGGTTTCCCTCTTTAAGCAAATTAATTCTAATCAAGAATGGCGAGAGGTAGTTTTTGCGATTAACATTGTTATTATCTGGCAATCATTTAACTTTTCTCTTGACCAACTATGGAAATTTTTTGTTCATTTTTACTACATACATGTAAGCCATGGTATAATGGTTTATCGGGGTTTAACCGATTATTTGAAGACCTTCGCTCTTAAAAATTTTTATTCAAATACTTGAAAACGCGAAATATACTGTTACTTAAGTGAAACGGCGTACTTAAGTGTAATCTGCTACTACAGATATAAAATTTATAATATATAACTTTTTAAGCCTAAAAATATGCTAATTTAAATAATTTTTGTTATTAGATATATTAATGTTAATAAACACAAACACACACATACGCACATACATAACGATATTCACATGCATACTTGTATACATAAATAGATAGATAGATAGATAGATAGATAGATAGATAGATACACAAACACACATTTTTTTTCAATTGCTTGTAAACTTAAAAACTACACAGACTACACAGATGATTCATAGATGACAATTTGTAAAACATTCGGTTTTGTATTTTGGACTTCTTTAACTTCTTTTAATATTGCATTCGTTAAGGCTTCTAATGCTGCTATATCCGCATTACTTGGATCCTTACGTGTCAGCAATGTATTCCATTTCGGCATTGAAACCTAACAAATATTATATAAGAAATTAACTTGACAGTGTTTTATTACTTTACAAGATCTCAGCTAATTTCTTGCTGTCACCCACCACCACCATTTACCATCAACACTGCCCCTGCCACAAATAGAGCGTAGAGCAGGTTTGTCATTCTCTTTGTAACAATCTCATATACATGCTTTTGATTATTTTAATAATATTTCAAGCCGATTTAATTGATATCCCTTTGACTGTTTGCTTCGTCTACCACCTGTCCATCTGTCCGTTAGTGAAGCTTTCTGACCGTGTTTTCGATTGTTTGAATAAAGCATAATCGAAAAGCATACTTCTCGATTTAAGCTGCACATTGACCCTCCCATGAATAGACCTAGGTCAGCACTAGATTTTATTGAAAGGTCCTTCAAAGAGCTTGACGACTTTTACGTTAGCAGAAAGTCCATATGTGATCTTGTTGAGATTAATACCTGAGTATGCCTCTGCTGTCTCTGGTCTCCGCGCGAGAGATGCTATGCATTTTTAATAGAATCCGTTCAAAAGGAATTCCTGCTCTTTGTCATAAGAAACTTGGACACCTGACCCATTTCTTTCTTTGCCTTCGTATGAAAATAAATTTGCTTCTGTTAGCCTTACCGTCACTACTTAAGCTTATAAATGGTACGATTGACTCATGACTTCATGAGATAAACTTCAATGTTTGTAGCCATACAAGTCAGCCAATCCAGATGTAATTAGAAAACGTTTCAAACCGTTTCTTCTGCGACAATCCCAAGTGATATCTACAATTTCATCATTAACATGGGATTTTTTAAATTGTATAAAATCAACTCGGCTCGGCGTTGCCTATGTTGTATCTAAATTAACTTGTAATCTAGATATCTTCGTATGATTCGAAAACTGAACTAAATTTGTTCACTATTAACGGTTGCCGAGCTTTTGCATTTTTCCGACGGCTTCCGGATTTACTACCAACTCGGGCATGACACGCAACATAGTGGTAATAATAAGAAGAGATTAATCTGAAATTGATTAAAGTTAAAATTACTTTAGAAAGAGTGAGACGCGTTTTGATCTCATCTCTCATACACCATGCGTCGTGTAAGCCGTGTATCATATTTCGCTGCACATATTTGCAAAAACCAAGAGTAAAAGTTAAAATCAATCTTGATCGGCCTAGTAATCACACCTAATTAATGTATATTTTATTACCACATATATATATATATATATATATGTTTTGTCAGGTTTCGTTGGTTCGGTGGTGGATGTCTAAAATTCGATTTATGGCGAAAATTTAGCTTTAGCGTTACTTCCTGTTCTTCTTTTGCCATTTGTTCAAAAAAAAAAAGAGGAAAAAAAAATTTGCTTTTTGTTTTTTGTTTCCTTACCGTTAATACTTTTTGTAGAGCTGCATAATCTAGGCCAGTGCCAGCAGTTTCACCTAAGCGTCTTAAAGTTTCTGCCATTGGACCGGAAAGTTCCTGTGTTGTAAGGAAAATTAAAAAAAAGGCGAAAAGAAAATCAAAAAAACAGAAGAAAAGAAAAATATATATAAAAGGCATCGTGTCTAAGAAATCTTTGGCAATATTCTTAGCTTAGCAGATTCACTTACTTGCAACTTTGCCCAACTTGTGGCATATTGACGTCGTACCAACTCAATGATAGTAGAAGTTAACGCCAATCCAATTAATATATATAATGTGCATAGAAGCATATAATTTGGTTTTTCTAAGAAACAAAACTTAAGGAATTTTTTTTTGCTTTTTTAGTTTCCGGCAGAAATCTCACTTGGTACCAAATCACCGAAACCAATTGTTGTCATGGTTATGAAACAAAAATAGAAACCATCAAAAAATGACCAATCATCCTCCCAGAGTAGCAATAAACCGGCGCCAGCAGCTAAATATATGCACAAAAATAATACGGCAGATAGAGCATAAAACCATGTTTTCCCAATAAATTTAGTCAAACTCGGTACTTCTAAATTGAAATGAGAAGTCGAATTTTTATAAATTATTCTTATTCGTCAGCTAAAAAGGCGAAAGGATTTCACATATATATATAAAAAAAAAAAAAAAAAAAACTCTTACTTACTTGGTAGATATTTGCCTAAAACAGAGACAGCTGTCGCAAATAAACGTCCCCAATCCGCTATCACGGTTAGCGTAAAGGGAATGCCTATTAATGCGAAGCATATGCAAAATGCTCTGCCGCCTGTTGTCACTGGCACAATATTGCCATAACCTATATACGTAGCGATGATGATTAAGAAACATAACGCAATTGCATTAGTATTGATTCATTTTCAAAGATCTCTTACCTATCGTAGTTAAAACGGTTGAGGAGAAGAACACAGCTTGCAATATGCTCCAACGTTCATAGGGTTCGGGAAAGTCTCTATCTGCTTCAATTAATAGACCACCCTCGGCAGCTTCCTGTATTGCCTGTTAATAAATATAAACAAAAACCAAAAAAAAAAATAAAAATAAAAATAAAAAAAAAAAAAAATTTTTTTTTTTTTTATTTTTTTTTTAAAAAAAAAAAAAAAAAAAAAAAAAAACAGCTCATCTCTTAATTTTCTTTGCACTCCCAAGTGTAATAAGATAAACTTTTTTATATGAAACAAATTTAATAAGAAACAATAGCAGCATATGTGCTTAGTCAACAAAATTGGATAAAGCAATGTAAGAAAATTACATGCGGTCGTGATCGAATCTTTTACACCTGTCTACACCGTTATTCTAAAAAGAGGCGAGAAGATAAAAAGGGAATGTTTTTATAATTTATAATATTGGATGGGTGCGGTTGACTTTATATTTTTTTTTTTTTGTTTGTGGACTGATGCACATTTTTGCAACGGTTCAGATCTGATGCTAACCAATTATACATAGAGTTCAGAGCATTTCTGTAGTTTCTTCATAGGTGTTGCAAACATTTGCGACAAAAGATTAGATAAGTGCGGTCGTGCCGGTGCTGCAGGACAACTCTTACAACATAAATGAAAATTATTTTTACGATTGTTTCTGTTGTGGTTTATAAGTAGCGAACCAAATTTTGTTTTTGTTTTAGAAGGCAGAAGTAGTCTTAGATTAGTTTGTACCGCGGCCCTGTCCTCTTACCGATACAAATCTGCCGGAAAGAGTTTGCATTGTTTCTGCCACGTATAAAGCTGATAGGTTCCTTTTTGCGATTAGCAGAATGCTTACCACAGCCATTACATAGGCAGACAGACGGACATGCTTCAATTGAGATCAGTATTTGATGCTGATCAAGAATGTATAGACATTGTGGAGTCTCTGAAGTTTCCTCGTATAGGGTGGATAACGAAAGGCAGATCCAGTATTTTGGTACAATTAAGGAAATATTTTTGAAGCCGTTACGTAATGCACGTCATCTGTGCATTACAGCTTCGCGTGCGTCATTAGTTAGAGGAATAAAAAGCTATGCTACTTAATTTTCTCATTAATTAATTTTAATAAATATGACAAACGTCAATTTGCGTATAAAGATAAGGTGATAATGAACGGCGAATAGATAGCGATATAGTAACCGATTGTTGCTCGTTTCCCTAGGGATTCAAAGCCTAAAAGCCCAAAGTAAAAACTAGTCAGATGACCGGCTGCATCTACAACCCAGATATGTTACTGTGCACTACAATTACGAAAAATGGTACTTCGCAAAGGCAAGTGGTGCCTTACGTTAGTATAATCATTCCATGTATTGAAAATTTAATGTATTTAGTAGGTGTTGTTTTTTTTTTTTTTAATATCTAAACTTCATTCAGTGCAGTGCCATGCAAGGCGTTCGCAAGCTACATTTTCGATTAACAATAACAAAGTGTTGCATAATGTAGGAAAATTTTTACGATACATTGGCGAATGTTGACGGTGGTCGTCGGTGTACACAATGGCGAACGTCAAGCATTTGCCGTCATGCAATAAAAAGTTCAACGAAAGAGCAAACGCCAATAAGAAATTCAAAATAATTCGAATTAATAAAGCCATCGATGATAATATAATTTTTATATTAGCGAACTGGTGGTATTGCGCAGGCGCGAACCTTAATGGTCTGTCGCACAGTCGAGAGTAAAGTTGAATTTGAATTAATTCGCAACAAATTGTTGGAAAAATTGATCCCTCGCCTGTAATTCGTCGTGTGTTTGTCAGTAAGAAAGTTGGAAAGGAAGAAATAGTCAGAGAGTGACCGCAGCTTAGTGAATGTATGCCCAATGCCCAATCGATAAGTGTTAATCCCTTAACTGATGTAGCATTCACGGCAGCTACGAGCAGGTAAGCGTTGTCAAAGCGCATTGAGCATTAGACCCGCGATCCATCTTATGTACCCAGGAGAGCAGTTAAGGCATCAGAGTGGATCAAATGCAAAAGGTCTCTAATATGCCTTTATCTGCTGCCGATTGTCAGTTATTGATGTTAATATTTTGATATTTTCGTTTCTTTTGCCATTTAATGGGCGTGTACTCGATAAGTAGCGAGCGTACATTTTTCTGTAGTAATACAAAAAACAATCATGACAGAGTGTGTCTGTCTGTATCTAGGTTAGAATTACAATATTGGAGGAGTGCCTTGCTACTTGCTACAAACAATCATCAAATATAACTTTCTCTAAGGTAGCAAGTATGCGATGGCGATATATTCTTGTAATGTTAATTACAAAACTTGAGCGAAAAATTTTCATTTCAATCTGATCATCATGGTTGTCGATGCAAGAACAAGTCATTAAAGGTTAGTGTGATGACGAACAATGTAAAATTTCTTAAAGTTATGGGCTAAGCGGAGAGGGAAAAAGCCTAGAAAATTTATGGAATTTAAGTCAGTTGATTTAAACGTCACATAATTGCTAATGTAAAGAGATTTAATATTTTTCGTTTGTTTTTATTCATCACTCGCATTGCATTGTTTAGTAAACTACCGCTTCGTATTTACTTAATTCAAATTTTAGCAATTCATTCAAATTGTTAATGTCTGTGTTATTTAATATCACATTAACGAAACGTTCTCTCTCCGTTTTCACTATAGTTTTCAATTCAGCTAAACGTTCAATCTCGGCTGGCCGTTCCAAATGACGAAATATCTGCATTTATGCGAAAGAAATCAAAATTAATTTATTTTATTATTATTATTATTATTATTATAAATTTAGTGAAAGAATAAATTTTAAGACTAAAGTCTTAAAGCACTAGCATCTAAGGCTTTCGGCTTTTATTAAAAACTCGATCGCACTTGAGATTTGAACCTACGACCATCAGAGTTGCTAATCGGGACTCTTGCCTACTTGGCCACTCAGGCGGCTAAAAATTTATTTTATAGGTCAACGCTTGGTAGTCAATTAATTGTAGCTTACATCTAACTCATTAATATTGAAAAGAAAAGCCGTCTGGTAAAATTTTCATCAAATGATATAGAAATAAAGAACAGATCTAGAAACACGAAATAAGTGAATGACATGGACTCGAAGTATAGTAAGATGAAATTTGCTGCAAGGAAGCGATAGCATGCTAAAGCGTATTAATTTTGTGCGAATATATACAAGATTCAGAGGGATTCGAGATAGCCCCATCCAACTTTTATTGTAATGACAATCACTTTCTAAATCAACTTAAGTTTGTCTGTCTGTCTGTTGGTCGGATATTGTCAGTCAAAAGCATTTGTTTTTTTTTTTGTTTTTTTCATTGATTGTACAACAGAAACAACTTTGATTCATTAAAACTCAATTTGAACTCACTATGTATATATCCGCTGGTATATAAAGAAGAAGAAAAACTAATAGAACCGAGAACCGTTATTGTAATTAGTAATAAGAATGTGTGTTGATATTTGTATGTTGCCTTAAAAGATTACATTATTTAATGGCTTATGTTAGCATCTACAACAAAAAAAGTAATAAAAGCGGTTTAAAGGCTTGATACCTCCATCCATTATTATTTCCTACTAACATATTCTACACTCGTTATGTACGTAATATATGCACTATTTAGTCATTTAAAGATCTTAACGGCACTTTTCTCAGTTTTGTACAATATATATGATATGATGTAATAAACGAAGAGATGAGCGCAAATACTATGCTGATAGAGATTAGGAAACGTATTAGTAGAAACGTCAGCGAGTCGTTGGCATTCAGGTGAACGTCATCGTATCAATGATAATAAATGCTTTTTAGTGTAAAAAAATTGTAAAAAAAAAACGAAAATTTTTGGGTCTCAGTGTCACGAAGATCACAGCGTCGTGTTAAAGCGAGCTAATACGCTTTGATGAGATACGCAAAGAAACTCGAAACGATCACTTTCGCGTACAAATATTTCATATAACGAGGCGTGGTGTTAAGCATGCTAACGCAACCTTGCATTTGTTATGTATGGTTAGACGAGGAGGTAAGAAATTTATAATATTTGGAGAAGTTAGCTTCCTAGGGATAGTCAACTAACCCCATTGTTAGATAACATATCTCTGAACGTATGTTCAAATCCTTCAAATTTCTTCATTCCATAAGTTGAGTGAAAAATTTTATTGCAAGAATCGGTGACCTTTGATGAGCTTTGGACTTTTATAATAATAATAAAAAAATGGTTTCCATTAAATCAAGTTTTTGAAGAGTGAATGCTTCAGTAATCATTTTTTATTTATTATGATAGAATAATGCTCGCTCTGTCATTGCCCAAATTCAAGCGTTCAAGAAAACTTCTCTTACTTACGTGTAAAATGATGTCAACGCAAACGCGCGTTATCTTAGGCTGTTGACATTAGTCTGCGATGCATTGTTTACGCCCACTCAATATCACACACTTTTAGTTTTCGTTCTTTTAATTAAATTCATTTGTTGTTTGCTAATTTGGCGAGAAGCCAAAAGAATCTACTAAATATACGTAAACATCGAGAAGAGATATGTGTCTTGATGCTTCAATACCGAAATGTCATTCGCATCAATTGACATTTACATTTAATGAATGTTTACACTTAAACATATATATTTTTCGATTGTCACAACAAGTGGCCATATTTCACTTTTAGCTAAGAGCAATATGTTGATTTTCTTCTTTTTTTTTTTTTTTCTCTTTTTAAAAATCATTTCGAATGCTACAGATAGCGTGTGGTTTTACTTACTAACTTATACCACAAGATATCTATATGTAGTTAATGTACCATAAACATGTTGATATTTTACTTATTATTAACAAACTTGTGATTGTCAACATGTCAACATGATGGAGGCGTTGAGTATTTTTGTACTTGAATGAATACATTTTAATACTCATCATCGGGAGTTCATCATGAGGAGTACATTCATTACATGTCATAATGTTTGCATCCATTCAGTTTCACGGTACCCACAAACTATATATACATATTCGATTAGAACCAAAATCTAAGCCGATGTCCGTTTGTCCGTTTGTCCGTTTGTCCATCTGGATGTCAGCGCAATCTCTGTTGTAAACATTCTTCTGAAACATTGAATTTCTTGCATGCAAGATTCAAAAGGGTCAAATGGGTCAAATCGGTTGAACGATACGCCTGCAGTGTCACATAAACTGAGAACACTTCTATTTTCCAAAAGAAATGAAATTTTACTGTTTTTTGATCATTACGCATAAGATAAATCTATAAAAATTTGAACGTATATTCTACGGATGATATGATAGTAACTGTGTAGAAATAGAAAAAATTACCCACGCCTATCCAATATAAAATTTTTATTTTTTTACAGCACCTTTATAACGCCCAGTTGTAAGCATCAAAATACCTTCTTGGCCAGTGTCAAATTTGAAATGCCCCTAAACATGTCCGTCTGTCCAACTGCATCGTATCTATGGTAAATATTATCTCGTTTGTCAAAAATGAAAACTGCCCAAAACCCCTCCAGTGAACACGTGTACAATGCTTCCATAAAGTGCGAAGAACACTGTCGATTTCGGTATATTCCGCTCATTGCTCATAAGCTACACTAGACACGTGCGATATAAGTTTTTATTCTTATTCCACAAAAATTGAAATAGTTAAACCCACCCAATAATATAGAAAATAGATATTTCGTTTTTCTCTTATTTTTTTTAAGTCTTTTTTGGGACAACGGTTTTATATGTATGCAATACATTATAATCCATTTCACAGTTCATTTGTGTATTGGTTTCCCAATCTCACACACAGCTCGCTGCTAAAGGATGTACAAAACAATGAGATTTTTTTTTTTGTGTATAAATTATGTATGTAATTAATCCCAGAAATACTGGAGTTGATTAAAAATCCAGTACACACATTATAGTAGGCCATGATCCATCATTGAATACCATAGATAACCCTATAGTTATTCATGTAACGACTTTCGAAAATAAGATGTCTTGTAGAAAAAGTACTGAGACTTGAACCATTTTCAGTAGCTTTCGCTCTTGGGCCCCAATATCTCAGTGCATTAAATTTCATCAAATTATCTCGAAAGCTATGACCTATAGACTTTTACATTAAATCAGAGAATAATTGTAACAATTGTCTAATTAATAGACCATCGTGCTACAAGTAATGTAGGGTGAAATTAAAGTGTGCATATATAGACAGACACATTACATAAATGTCAATTTTCATGCATATGCACAAGTTACAATTAATTTATTCTGTTGATATTAATTATTTCGTATGCGTTAAACAACAACAAACTTCTGTAAAAATGTTCGCTACAACGCAATAGAATTATATTCAATTTCAAAGCTAGTTCAACCCTTTCAAGTAATTAATTGTCTATTAAAACTGGTGTCTATACACTTTCAGGCGACAACCAAGCCTCAGTTTAATTTTTTCTTCATCGATTTCTTTTTATTAATGTTTCCAATTAGTGTAGTGTCCTTAAGCAAAATATTCTTACTGTATAGACAATGAATGAAAAGTATTCAGCATATTTTAAAATAAGTTAAATAATTTGAAACATGCAACCTAAAGAGCATTCATAGCCAGAGGATAGCCGGTTAATGCATTTAATTAAAATAAATTGAAAAATGCACCAAACATAGAACGAATGTCTGGACGTGAAATCGTTCAATACCTATCTGCCAGTAAGTCTATTACGATCATTACGAAAGCTCTGGCAAATATTTGGGCAAAACTTTAGATCGATGAACGTTCTTTGTCTATACGATTAGTTGAATTAGTTTAAGGCTAGTGGTATGCAATAATATTTATTTACTGAAGAGATTTGTGCTATGAAATCAAAAATATCATCGTACGTACGTATGTATGTATGCGATATCATAAATATGTGTATATGTTATATACAGAGGTATTGAGTTTTTTTTATTTTTAATTATTATCTACACCTATTGTGTGGGGCGTATTAAGTCTGCGCGAACGGATGCAATACCCAGCAGGACTTGAAATAGATCCACGTTTTAGTTTACCGATCTTCTCAAAATCATTTTCTAAATCGATCTAAGCTTGCCTCCCCCACTGACATCTATTCATGTATTTTTGTGTTTAATCTCTACAGGTCGCAAATTTCGGAGACATTTTAGTACAGAAGTTTAGTACACTGACGTGTTTTAGCCCGCGGGCGAACGCTATTCAAAATGATTCGGATCGTCACACTTTCTTGGTCACTTACCTATATAAAGCCTTATTTTTACTTGTGTGAAATCTTTCGAGTAGAAAGATTAAAAAAATGAGGAACAAAAAGTTTGTAGTCGGACATTGCGGTCATAAAATACCAAAAATTATACCTTGTTGCCAAGGAAAGGTCATACCTTGTCAACCTCATCTAACTCATGTACAAAGAGCTACTAAAATATATATCAATGTATTCGATTTTTAGCTATGTAATATATGTAAAGCATTTCTTATCCTTATTCTGGACTAATTTTCATAATGAAAACCAATAATACGTATTTTGTTATTGTATAAACACTTATTGTTCTCTCAATCAAATTTTCCACATTTACACTGCATACGTTTGTGTCGAGAAGTATCAAAAACTATAATTATAAAATATCATTAACTTATTCACCAAACATTGGACGGATAGAAGAAGGCTTTGAAGGAAGTAGATTCAAAATATAATTTCGAATCGATCGGTATAAAAGAACATAATTATAC